TCTACATGCCAATAATCTAAAAAGTTAACATTGACTCTTAATGATTATAAATCTGGTTCAAACAAGTTGGTCTTAAAAAGATTGGTTATAAGACTGTCTGGTTGACTAACTTATTAAGCTACCGCACAGATGGACCCATAACTTTTTTCCAAAGGGGCAAAAAAGGTTTCCAGTTGTTTTTCCACCATGGTGTTATAAACCTTTAAATATATGATAGAACATCAAATGATAAAAAACGCAATTCATTAATTAATTGTAAATTGATTGGAATTACAGTAGTTCAGATACCGGAATAAAGGAAGACTTACGAATGCATTTCAATTAGGACGTGTTCGGCACGGAGCATTTGAGAGCTTCTAGTTTCTAGCGTTCGACAAAACGCTTCGTTTAAAACAGAAAGTCTCGTTTGGCACTATAAGTTTCTAGCGTTTAGTTTAATCAAAACGTTCCAAATCCAAATGCTACTTCATGTAGCGTTTAACAAAACGCTACAAGAAGAAGCTACCCGCTACCTGCCTGCTACTAGTTAGTTTTGCCGAACAAGGCCTATATAAAAACATTACACTTTCATGCTTTTTTGCTCTGATCAATATGGGACAATAAGTAAAAAATATCAGCCAAATTCAGCTATTCAGCTTCCCTTCTTTTTGTAATATCACTTATCCCACATCGCTGTGGGAGGGTTAAGTGAAGGAAATCGGGCTTGCATATATGTGGAAGCCATCTGCTTTATTTGTCTCAATTCTCACTTGAAGTTTCCTTAAAATAAAATGTTTGGTATTATAATAATGAAAATGAATTACTTAAATCAATATAATAATTATAAAGAAACAAATCTATTTAATTCCAATAATGTTTTTCCAAAATTTATGCAAAAGTTTTAAAGTTTTCTAAAAATATCCATACATTTCATAGATCAGGATGATAAATCCTTAAATGGGCCTCATTTCTCTTCATTTTTATATTATTTTTTAGATGAAAACTCTGTGAAAAAGATTTCATAAAAACCTCCTTTTGACAACATTTAAAATTTTCTTTTGCTATGAATATGCTTTTTGAAGCTTCTTACAAAAAAAAAACTTAAAAAATAATATTTTTTCGATAAAAAACCTATGATTTTTGTATTTTGTAAATATTTCCACAAGTACACTAAGTTCTTCGATTTTTTAAAAACTTTTATTTGCATTTTTGCAGCATTTGCTGCGAAATGGTTTTTGAAAATCTTTGACAAAGTAGTAAAGACTAAAGGAACCATGTACTAGATTCAAACCTCAACTAAATGATTTGAAGAAATTAGTTATCTAAAAATCAGATTTTGAGGTGATCTACAAATTCATGGATTCTCTTCATTCTAACTAGGAACACTTGCCACTATGATGAAAGTGACAAATGCCACACCTATAACCTCCAAAGTCTGTAAAAAACTACTAAATCATGAGAAGTTTAAGAACCCAAGGATAACTAGAATATAGCTTCAACTCTTCTTCACGCAAGAAGCCAATAATTTGATATATATATATTGTCATGGAACCCGAATTTGATTAAAATGTTTTTGATTGCATGACAGATGATAATGAAAAAGAGTATGAATGACTTCAAACTAAAACAACATTGTTTGCAAGGAAAACACTTATGATTATAGCTAGGAGGAAAAGGCATTTGTTAAATAGAACTGTTAAATATAGAGTGAAAGTTGACCCAAATGTAAAGTATAACAAGCTGGTGGCGATTTTAAGAATAACATTTTAGAAGTTTGGGTTACCGTTCAAAACCTCCCACCAAGTTTTTTTTTTTTTTTTTTTTTTGCAAAGTTAACCCTATAAAAGTTTCAAAGTTACATAAATAATCTTTAGATTAAATAAAACTTGTAAAGTTAAATAGTCGCTAAATTAGATAAAATTTACATAGTTTTGTATCGGTTTATTAGAAATATATACAATTTTAAGTTTTTGTTTCTAAGTAAAGTCTACTTTAGCTATTTACACAATTCCTAACGCACAAGGTATAACCATGACAACGAATAAAATATAATTTTAATCATTCAATTTTATATAATCCGTCTCATTTGCAACCCTTCATTTTGTAAAATAGTATTTTTTTGGTAAATTACACCATTCGTCCATCGTGCATATGCCAGAAAACGTGTTTGGTCCCTATTTTCAAAAATTAACTCGGACCGTCCCTGAGTTTGTTTTTTCTTGCACGCTTAGTCCCTATTAACATGAAATGACTATTTTACCCCTAATAATTTGTTTTATCATTTTCTTTTATTTATTTATTAGTTTTAAATTAAAATAAATAAATAAATAAAACAATTCATCCCCACCATTCCCTCTCCCATTTCCCAGCTCCTTCGTCTACCTTTTTCTTACATTCCCTTCACCAAGATCATCAAGCTTCTTACATTACCTTCACCAAGATCATCAAGCAGTATGAAATCATACCAAAAAACCATCAAACTCAAACCCAAATCAAATCATCTTAATTTTATGATAATCAACATCATTTCGAGATGAAATCCCTAAACCTAATTCGTAATGAAGCAACCAAAATCTGTCATGAAATTCCTCGGTTAATGCCCTAGATTGTTGAACTTCGACATACATCAAAACTTCGGAGACGATGACCGAAAGGAATGATGGAGGTATGCCGGCGACCAAGAGGAATGAACATCATCTTCTTCACCGCCACAATACGTGCAACTGTGCGGACAGTTGTCGGAAGTTTCTGGCGATGGAAATGTCCTAGCGATCGAAATCCCACTGGTCCTCCCCTATTGACAAACACACCCATGCTTCCTCCTTATCCCCCTCTCTTTTCTGATCATCGTTAAGATGTTAATCCACCACCGATCTCCTCCCAAAAAACTCAGACCACAACCACCGATCTACAGTTTGTGTGTTTTTTTTCTTGTTTTCTCGATTAGTAATACAGTGAAAGCGATGGGGAAGGTTCATCGGAGAAGTGGAAGCGACGATGGTAGCCGGTGACTGACCAATGAGTTAAAGGTCTCTGTTTTCCCTCTCATCGATTTGATATGTGTGTATGTTTTCTGCGATTGTGGATGGTTAGGGAAAGTAAAGAGGCGTTTATTATTTATTTTTTAATTTTTAATTGAAACCTATAATAAAAGAATTAAATTAATTGAAAAATAAAAATACAAGGGTATTTTGGTCATTTCAAACTTGACAGGGACTAAATTCGCAACAAAATCGGCTTTCAGGGATGAAGCGTGCAAGGTTAAATAAAACAAGGGACGGTCCGAGTTAATTTTTGAAAATAGGGACTAAACACGCTTTTTGGCATATGCACGAGGGACTATTGATGTAATTTACCCTATTTTTTTTATCCATATACTTTTTAAAGGGTAAATTACGCCAATCGTCCCTCGTGCATATGCCAAAATACACGTTTAGTCCCTATTTTCAAAAATTAACTCGGACCGTCCCTCGTTTGTTTAAATCTTGCATGCTTCATCCCTGATACACGGTTTTGTTTCGATTTTAGTCCCTGTCAGATTTGAAATGACCATAATGCCCTTTGTATATTTCATTTTCAATTAATTTAATGTTTTATTATTATTATTAATTATAAAAAAAATATGGACTCACTTAATACCCAAACCCAATCCCACCCCACTTTTCCCAGATCTATCTTCTTCATCCTCTTCTAAACTCTTGATAAAACCTTAAAATCACTCTTAAGTCACCGCCGATGGATAATCTCTCCAGCAAACCCTCTCTCATCTTCCTTCCGTTGATCCTACTCCTATCATCATCTCCGACCACCCGAAATTCCACCTTTCATCTATGGTTTCTGAATCTGAAATTTGAAACTCAGATGGTTTTAGAAATTGAGAAAGAGAGAGCGAGACATGAAGAAGATTGGCGAAGAAGGAGGAAGGGCAGCAACAGAACTGTTGCTGGTGATGGTGGTTTAATTCACCCGATCAGGTTACTTGTTCTCAATCGATCCGTGTAATTTGTGGAGAACATATGGATATGTTTGAATCACCACCTAGGGTTTTAAACCACCGCCTAGGATGTTAAATCGAGCTTCACCATCGTCATCGTTTACAGATCGTCACATGTGCGTTACCATCGTCATCGTCACTTGTGCGCCACCTCGGGTTTCCTTTGTTTGAAAACCTAGATCTGAAGTAGTGGTCTTCTGTGCGAGAGAGATAGAAGGGGAGATGTAAGTATGAGATCAGAAGAGGGGAAAGAGGAGACGAAAGTAAAATAAAGATTGAAATTGGCCGGTATCTTGGAGTCGATTTTCTCTGTTTGAAACCGAAGATGTCTGGGAGTTGTCGGAGCAGTGGAATCCGTCGATGTGGGTGGTCTAAAGAAGAAGAAGAAGAATGGGAGGGGGAAATGAGTTATCAAATGTACTGACCCATTTCTTTTTTAAATGCAATAACAATTATTTTTTTATAATAAACAAATTAATGAATAATTAATAAATAACAAATAAATATAAATAAATCAAAAAATAAATAAATAAGGGCAAAATGGTCTTTTTATCTGCGGAGGGACTAAGCATGCAAAAAAAAAAAACAAACCTAGGGACTATCTGAGTTAATTTTTGAAAATAGGGACTAAACGTGCTTTTTGACATATGCACGAGGGACGATTTGTATAATTTACCCCTTTTTAAAATATCACCTTCAACTTTGTAAAATATGTCATTTAGTCTTTCACCCATTCACCTTTCATTTCTCAACTTTATATAATCCGTCAGTGCAACCCATCTATTTTGTAAAGTGATATCTTCCATCCCTTTACTTTTAAAAACATTATATTCACCCCATTCACCTTCAACTTTATAAAAAATATCACTTTCATCATTTTATTTTCCCTCATCTGATTTTCTAATAGGCTAATACACAACGAAAACACTTAAAAAAAAACCCCGAGACTCACTAGTTTAGTCTAAAATACAAGATTAGTATATCAAGCAGGGAATCACGTTCATGTACAATCACGTGATAAGCAGGGAACCCATTCATGTTCAATCACGTGATGAGCCTCGTTCCAACCTTTTCGCCCATAAAACAGAAGCTGAACTCATCCAATTGACTTATCCGCTAGTTCAATGGCTACGCCGGTGAAGGTGTACGGACCACCATTCTCGACCGCCGTGTCAAGGGTCTTGGCCTGTCTCCTTGAGAAAGATGTCCCATTTCAGCTTGTACCCATCAGCATGGCGAAAGGCGAACAAAAGAAACCTGATTACCTTAAAATTCAGGTACATATAATGGGTTACTCTGATTTTTTTCTTCTTTCGTTATTCGTCGTTTAATTATGCTTGGGGGAAATTTGAGTTTAATGCAGCTCGTTTTTCTTGTCGAATTACCTGTCCTGAATCTTAGTGTAGCAGGTAATTGCACCGTTTACGATTTTGGTGTAAACTGATTCAAGTAACTCATGGATTCTAACTGTTTGTTTAAACTTTAAATGCTTGAAAGAGAATCGCAATTCACCTCTCTTTATTGCTCTTTCTGATACAGCCCTTTGGCCAAGTTCCGGCATTTCAAGATGATGAAATCACCTTATTTGGTATATCCTCTTCTTGTGTATGTGTGCATCATGAACTTATACTAGCGATGCCAATCATTTACGATTCAGTCATCTCTGGGTGTGCCTAATTACCTTAGAAATCCATCTGCATAATATCATCTTTGAAAGACGAGAGCATCAATGCATGATAACCAAACTCTAAAGCATCTCCCTTTTTTGTACTTTCGAACATGAAACTGTCTCTTTACTTTTCCGGATTCCATTGGCGTATATGATAAACAGCCCCACATTTGTTACTAATGTTTCTTGCATAACATGAAATGTTAAGAATTGATGGATTCTTTGTGTGGATTACAGAGTCTAGAGCCATATGTCGATATATAGCAGAAAAGTACCAAAACAAAGGAACCATTGGCCTATTTGGAACAAACCCATTGGTAAAAGCTTCAATCGATCAATGGCTAGAAGCAGAATCACAAAGCTTCAATCCCCCAAGCTCAATTCTCACCTTTCAGCTATTTTTTGCTCCACGAATGAAAATGAAACAAGATGAGGCATTGATCAAACAAAACGAATCAAAGCTTGTAAAAGTTCTTAATGTCTATGAGAAGAGGCTTGGTGTGAGTCGATACTTAGCAGGTGATGAGTTCACATTGGCTGATCTCTCTCACTTGCCTAACACCCAATACTTGGTGGAGAAAACTAACAGGGCTGAGCTGTTCAAGTCAAGGAAGAATGTGGGACGATGGTGGGAAGAAATCTCTACCCGACCTTCTTGGAAAAAGGTGGTCGAAATGCAAAATGCATGATCTTGGTGGATCTTCTTGGAACATGAAGTTTTTCGGTTTCTGTTATGGTGTTGAATGGAGTTTCTTTGTATTTTATCATGTGATTGTTACTATTACTGTTTGATATCATCGGTGTCAAATAACATTGACAATTCGACATTATATGGACATAAATTTGTGTCATACAATACATGAGTTAGATACTAATATGTTTGTTTTTATTACTCGATGAGTGCTAGTTGTATCTACCTACGCAAGTGAACTCAAGGAATAGAGAAAAAAATAAAAGATTTAATAGGCATGATGAATGTATTTCGTAAAACAGAATCTTGTCTACCATGAAATGGGGGGGGGGGGGGGGGGGGGGGGGGGGGGGGGAGGGGGAGGGGGATAAGGTATAATAATAATCAAATTCCTTGATATCTTAGTTGATCATGTTGAGTTTAAAAGTCAATTTTATTGATAATTCATTCCTATGTTTGGGTTATCATGGATTTCGATGTAGACGAGTTTTTTTCTCAACAACAAAATGTCTCGGATGCTCCAACTCCAAGAGCAATTCCGCAACACGAAAAAAGGATCAACCCATATTACTAAATTTTTTCACTTCTTGTACAATCTAGTCGAGGCTTTTGCAAATTGTGATTCCAAAATTGATGAAATCGAACTTGTCATGCAAATCCTTCAACAATTACCACCCTCCTACCATAACATTGTTGATGTGATCACAAATACAAAGACATTCCCTTCGTTCCTCGAATCAAAGAACATGTTCCTCATACATGAGTCTCGTAAAGAATCGATTAATCTTACCGGTGATGCCTCTCTTACATCATTCGCTGCATTGTAGTCCTCCACATCTACCAGTGGAAAATCGAAAAATAAATTTAATAGGGGCAAAAATAATGGGTGATTTGCTACCAAAGGGGTGTGGGGTTAATTCTAATGTTTCCGCTAACTCTAATTCTTTTTCAGGTTCTCAAGGTCAAAACCAAGTTTTATTTTAGGATAACCAACTCTTGTTCTAGCCAGTGGCGAATTTAGAATAAAATATCACGTGGTTCCCAAATTAAGTGAAGCCGATAAAAAAAATCAACAACACTTGTGAGGGGTCGGGTCGTGTACGATTTAATGAAATATAACCGAAAAAACCGATCAGGCACCACCAATTAAAATTTTTAAAAAACCGACTGAAATATAATTGAAAAAACCGAACGGTTTAATGCAAAACTAGTTGATTATTAGTGCATTGATACCTTATTGTTTGATAAAAACTATATATTATATTTAACCCTATATATTTAACACCACAAATGCCCCATGTAACTTATTTTTTTCTCCTTTTAAAATGGTTTTTTAATACATTTTAAAAAAAAAACCAACTCAAGGTAGGTCCTCTATTTTTTCTAAGGTAGTTCCTAATTTTTGTGGTATATATATTATAAATGAAATTCATATTTTAGGTAGGTCCTAGGACCTACCTTCTTACATGCTAGATACGCCCTTGGTTCTAGCCCCTTCTTCACAGTCGAGCCTTCTTGGAGTTGCTCATGCGTCATTTGCCAGCTATGCGACTCTGAGGCAGCCTCCCTTCGGTCTTCATCAGCTGCAGGCAACGCATTCGATCTTCATCATTAAGTTATATTACATAAAACCTATATGCTTTGGGATTTTTAGCATATCCAATATTATACAATCAATTCTTCTCTCCCATAATGCTTTCTTCTTGGTCTTATCTACTCTTATAACCACTCGACAACCCTAAGCTTAACCTCAAATTTGGAATTTGTCTAACTGATGTTCATAATGACCTATTTTGTTTCTTTTATTTTGAACTCTATTTACTACATAGCATGATATGGTTTCTCCCCTAATCCCCTCTATTTTTTTCGCTTTTGATACGCCTTTTGTTGTGGTGTATATGAAGCAATGGTATAATGAATAATACCAACTGACTAGTAGTAATAATATGGATCTGCATTTATCATCCTCAATCAATTTTGAGACTTATTCCCAAATCATTTAATACATCATCGGGTGTTGTCAAGTACATAAAAATCAACCAATATCATTGTAAGTATCTAATGTAACTATGGAACCCTCAATTCTATTCCATGTTTCCTAAATTACGCTTTGGGCCAAAACAATCACCTAGAGCTAGAACTTCACTAGAATTCATTCATGTTTGTGTTCCGATATCATCTCTAGAGTATCCATTCATGATTCCATATATTAATCAATCATCATGTAGTTGTCCTTAGATTTCCCAAAATGTCCTTAAGGCCAATAATTCCATATATTAATCAAGGAATCAAGTAACACCTTATGTTTTGAATCCAAATCATTCCAAGAGTATCCATTCATGATTATGAACTTCCTTTACTCATCAATTGCTCAACTACAAAGGATTCTATTGATTTCATCATGTTGTCCCAAAATCCATTTTTAATCCTATCTTATACATGATTCTACCATTATTCATGTGTTTGAGTATTCCAATTGGATTCATTGTCATCAAACAACATCTAAGTCGTAGAATCTATTCCAATTTAACATACAAACAATAAATCCCCAATTTGGATTTTCAGGGTTCATGAAGGGTTTCACCCAAATCCTCAAATCCATCAGTGGGGTGATTGGATTGAGATCAAGATTACCAAAACAACTTAAGGGAAGTTAGAAAACCAAAACCTTAATCCTCAAATGAGATGAAAATCTTACATTTTTTTGGAACGACAAATCTATTATACTCCTAAACTACTCCTAAATCTCCACCTATGTTCCTCACGAGACTTGAACCCTCGACCTCAAGGATGGAGGGCAACATCGGATACCGTTGGGCTAGAACTCCCAATTTATAGATGAAACTCGAATTCTACACTAAGGGAGGAAGAAATTATACCGTGAACCACTTGATTTCTTCATAACTTGCATCAAATGTACCAAGAAGGCTTGAGATCGAACCCTAGAGTTTTTCTTTTCTTTAAATAACTCGAATAAAAATTAATCTAGACCATATATGAGGATTTAGGGACTATATCCCAGATTTCAAAAAACCAAAGGGACCATTTATGAGGTTTTGTCTAAGAATAAAGTTAAAAACTATTTAATTATATAAGATGATATAAAATAATAATAATCTATATATGATACTATAAAAATAAAGTTTAAACAAAGTTTATATTATAATAGATACTAGGTGTAAGATCCATGTATTATATGGGTTAATTAAAAAAAAATTAAATACAAAAGTCTAAATATTTAAGAACTTTTGATTTATAAGAAAATAAGAAAAATAATGAATTAAAATTGATTTTTCTTGTAAATTTAAATAAATAAACAAAATAAACTAATGAACTTTAATTTAGGAATTTTGAAATAAAAAGGTAAGTCCATTAATGAAATTAATATTCATTTATTACTATATTTACTGTAATTATTACATTAAAATATTATGTGGAAAATTTATTAAAATAAAAAAAAAACTCATAAAATGACATGTGGAAAAGAAATTAATTCAAAATAACCACAAAAATGATATTTGGCAAATTGAATGAGAGTGTGACATGTGACAAAAAAAACCTTCATTTATTATAGTACACTAAATAGTATAAAAGCAATACCATAGATATAAGGAAAATATTACTGTAGCACAATAAACTATTGTCATTTATCCGATTTGGTCACCAAACTATTTTATTACGCAACAGGTCATTAAACTTACAAGTAATCTTTCAACTAATTCACTTCCGTTTATTTTTTACAGATGCCTAAGTACCGAGCCTATGTGGAACTGTGACTTGTTGAGGAAATTTAATGACCTCTTGTGTAAAAAAATAGTTTAGTAATCAAATCGTGTAAATGACAATAGTTGAGTGTGTTACATTGACATTGACATTTTCTCTTTTTCTTTTTTCTTTTTTTTAGGTTTTATCTTTTTAGTAACATTAATTAGAGCATGCCTCACCCACAAAATCATAACTTTTTTCTCTTTCTCATGAACGAGACCTTCAACAAGAGTTGGACCAACACCGCTTTCTTATTTCTTTTTGTCCTTTCTTCCCTTCTAAACGGTGGTACACGAACGGAGACATCTTTACTATCACCAGTAGGAGTGAAGTACGACACCGTCATTACCGGCATGAGTGAAGACATCTTACTAACATCGAACATTTTTTACAACCTTCGATCATATAAAACAATAGCATAGACATAACCCAATGGAAAAATAAAGAACTAGATGAAACTTGCATATTGGGACAAACATTGGGGACAATTTATTTACCTTCCTCCTATTTTTTGGACAGTCTAATCTAACAAACCGATTGAACTAATAAGCTGATAAAAACATGATTCGATTTGCAACCTTATTTTGAAAACGTTAGTTACTTCTCACGGTTACAATAACATTTATATACGAAAAACTAATTTATTAGACAAAATTTTAAAATAAAAGTTCTTGAATATATTTATTAAAATAAGTGAACAATACACTCGATTTTTATAATGCACCATATAGCACCAAATGTATGATTATCCAATGATGCAAAAGAACATCATTACGTTCACTGAACATTGCTTTACAAATTTTCATTCTCCACTTTCCATTACCAAGTCTTATCTCAAAGAGTCACAGTAATATTCTTCACTTAGCACATTCTATAAACAAGTGAAAGAGAGGAAATGATAGTGCCAAGAGTAAATAGTAACCCTACACAGGGCGGCCCAAACATATCTTAATAGACCGTGTGCAAAAAAATGAAACCCCTTTAACGATTAAAACTACTATCCAATAAGTGATAGGCGACTTACTTTCCGTTAAATAAAAAAGTCATTATAAAAATAATTTTAAAGTTTATGGAACTTATTTTCCATTGAAAGTAACAACTAAACCAAAATTTATATTTGCCATGTAACAAATTGATTTATGTACATATAGTATATATAGTATAAAATTCAAGTTTAAATTTAAGAAAAACAAAGTATTTTTAAAGGAGTTTAAATATCAAAACAAATAAATCAGACCACCACAATAATTATCGATAAATGCAGAATAAAACCCAAGTTTAACTAAAAAAATAAATTGGGGGCCTATACGTTTCGCACGCGAGTCTATTTTGCATGAGCACATGACCTTACCAGTTGAGCACAATGACATTTTTTGAAACTAAACATATTTATATCT